CATGGCAGAACGAGCGACAGATTGCAGTAACAAAGAGCAGTTACCACTTGCCCTTCGGAACTACGGTGAGTCAGTTTGGAAGGTACGTGAAGACTTCATCGGCCACCAGCGGTATTGAGAGGGCATATGAGGAGCAGCAACTGCCAAGCTCATACAGATCACAGTGTCAGATCTTGGTTTCAGCATGGACAAGTTCGGGTAAGCTGCAGTAAGCTGCTGGATATTCTTGGCTTTTACTGGGAAAATTCAATATTGTAAAAAGCTTTTTATGAATAAAAAAAATAGCAGTGAATACATTTGAGACAAAAAATTCTCCTATGTCAAGTTTGCTTTCTCTCATACTTATGGTCAATTTTAAATGTTTTTTTTTTTTTGGCATTGAAATAAAATGGGGTGTGCGTTAGAAATTAACAATTAGCTGCTTGTATTTCACCAAAGTTTATGACAATGTATTTTTCAAAGGACAGTGTTACGATGGGACAGGGAACATAACTCGCAAGGTGAATGGCGCTGCAGCAAGAATCAAAGCAGAATGCCGAAAGGCAGTACACATCCACTGCCTGAGCCATCTAATCAGCTGAACCCGTGGGTGATGTGCAATCCAGAGCTTGTGAAAGGCAGCGACATCGAGAGAATACTCCAACGACCGCGACAGAGGAATACTTCCACAGGAGACACCTCATCATTCCACTTGTGGACTATTTCATACTTGGATTTACAAATAAATGTGTGCATTGTGCAGTGCTAATGCTATATTAGTAACCATTTTATTCATTATATATTGAATTGAACTACAATCATATATTATTTTGATCCCTATTTATATCGTAGAGTTGTCGTTGGAGATGCCAGGAGATGTCTTGAAACAAAACGAACAAACAAACAAACAAACAAACAAACAAACAAACAATAATAATATAATAATAATAATAATGCAATTAAAATCTCAATATTAATTCCAAATGTGATTATTTGCCCAATAAGCTAATTATCTCAGCTGGTTCCCATGGAGAATTTCACTGATTTAGTTTTTTTTACATATTTTATGATTTCAGATGGTAAGAAACTTCCTGGGGTGACCTCAGAATTCTTAAACTATTCTTAAACTATTCACTCAAAAAGCTAAGCACCCTGGACGCATCTGTGGAAGAAATGTTGCCTGAATCAAAGATTAACAAATTGAAGGCCCAGTGTAAAACTACATGTAGGTATTTATAAGACGATGAGGCAAATGCATTTACTGTCAATGTTAGTTCTCATATTACAGGTATACCAAATATGTGTGAGGTTATTATACATGTAATTGTAAATCACTTTGTTAAACATCTATCATTTTCATAACATTTAATAAATATCTGGCCATAGTGTAACATTTTATTTGACTGAATTCAACTAAAAGGATAGTTTTCAAGTTTTTTGTCAAAAGTTAACTGGATCTTGGACACTCCTTTTAAGGATGAATTATCATAGTGCCTCTCTGATGTAAAAGTTTAATTATTGGAAGGTAACTTGAACGGCAGGATTCCCTACTCATTCTTCATGACTAGTACGCGCTGGTTGTGGATGCCCCAGATTCCATTAGAAGCGAGCCCCTCAGCAGCTGCGACACAGTCACAAAGACAACCAGCCTGGCCAATGCCATTACACCAAGTGATTTTATTTTCTCTTTGGTATTGTGCAAAGACGTTCTCCAATACACAAGAGAACTTGCCACCAAAACTGCAGGAGAAAGAGAGGAAGAGGTGCATCAGGCGTTTACCAATGCCCACGTTTTGGTCACTACACTGGGAGAATGTGGACAAACTGAGGTCAGAGCTGTTGAAGAAAGCAGAAACATTTGCTCTGAAAGTAGACGGGTGCTAACCAAGCCAAGACATTGTGAAAGGCACGACAGAGGAATACTTCTACAGTAGACACCTCATCATTCCACTTGTGGACGATTTCATATTTGGATTTACAACCAGGTAGCATATGTGGCATTTGTAGGGTCAATCTTTCCAGTAGCAATATGTCAGCCAAGTTGGGAAGCAGTCATTCTCAAAACTTTGATCTACTTTGATCATTTGCCTCATCCTGATTCTCTGCCTGCATGTCTAGATGGAATTGTGGAGGACATTCTGGACATCATACCATTCTCACGCACCAGCCAGTGTTAGTCAAAGCCTTCAGTTAGTGGACTCTGACACATTCCCAAACTTCGCCACTTATAAAGATTGCAAGTGATTTACCGTCAACAACCTGTGAGCGTGAGCGATCAGTATCTGCCCTCCTAAAATCAATTATTCAAATCTGCGCTCCAGGATGGCCCAGAATAGACTCAATGGACTGGTCCTACTGCATGTTCACTACAACATTGGCGTCAATGCTGGTATTGACTTGTTTGCCAGGAGACAACCCAGTACGCATGAGACCTGTATATATTTTTCAGGACTGACTGTACCAAGTGAATGTTGAGACTGTACTGTAGTTTGTACCTTGTATCCTGAATTACACGTGGATTTTTCATCTGGCTTTACTTTACTATGTAAAATATGTTATGGAAATGTTGTCCTCAGAAGCATAGATTACTGTAGAAGTTACATTTTAACTGCAATACTTATAGTAAGAAGTTATGACTGTATTTTTGAAGACATGTAGTAGACATGTATCAGTGCTTTAAATCATGGATGTCCTTTTTATATATCATGCATATGACATTTGAATTCAAAGATTGAATATTTACTTTCTTTTCAATACATTTGCATATTAGTAAGTCCAAACGTGTTTTCGTGTGTGTGTGTGTGTGTGTGTGTGTGTGTGTGTGTGAGCTCATGGGGGAGGGGTGGAGGATGGGTTAACAAAAATAATTTGGATTATGGTCAGAAAATATCTCTGGATCCGCTCCTGACCAAATGTCACTGTATTTACACACAATTTGCATTCTTTTGTGCTCGTTAAAGATCACGTGTCTATTATAGTGTGTCTATCGCGTACTCAGTTATGTGTAGCCACTGTAGACGGCGCGGCGTGCCTTCACCAAGAGGTATTTCTTGTTCCATTCTTCCTTAAGAGCTTGGTAGAGTTGGTCCAGATAATTAGGGGCTGGTTCCCCTCTGCATGTCATTATTTATTGATGACAGTAAAACAGTGTTCGGCTAGCGAATTAATTCCCTTTTGGAAGAACTCCAACATTCTGCTTGCCTCTCACCTCCTCAAAGTGCACACTTTTGAAAGGGACACCAATATTGCCGTCGACAGAGCTGTAAATAAGGTAAGATTCATCCGTTTGTCTACCAGTTATGCAACCCTGAGGTCACACACCCGTTAAGAATTGCTGTTACATGAATTGCAGTCCAGAATCGCACTCCGGGATCCCCTATGATTAGTTTACAATGCCAGGGTGTCAGGATTTTTTAGTCGAAACTATAGAGTCAGTATATGGGGCCAATGCTACCTGTACTGAATAATGGGAAACAGACAACGGTTCCTAGAAAACTGCCTCATGTCGTTATTAAAGGTAACCCAAAACAATAACAAAAATGGAGGATATATATCCTTCAAAATTGTCCAACTATCGACTTACATATCACAATATACAAAGTGGGTGTTTCCTACTTAGTTATTAAGTTTTGAAAATGCGCCCTTCTCAATAGGTCTGGAAGTTAATGAGCAACGCGGTCACGTGCTCCAAACGTACAAGTTACTGATTCAAGTTACTGATAGAAAAATTAACTGAGATTTACCAGCAAATATTTTGTCTGATGACAGTCAGACTTTATGAAGGACATGAGGTCTCTGATGGGTATTGCAACCTGTCAGCTCTCAGATGTGGTTGATTCAGTTCAGAGCGTCAAGCACTATCAGATCATGCAGTCGGCTTACTTTAGCGTATTTTATTCTTTCTACATTCGGGATTTAATACATAGTCGAATAAATAGAAATGTAGAGTATCAGATCTAGAAACCTCTCCATACCAGTTTGATCATTCGATTCACTATTTATCAGGATCCAGAGAGTACAGAAGTGACTTCAGCAGTCACGAGAATCTGAGACCAAGTGACCTAGATCTGCCGCGTCATGATTTGCATACTGACTAGACTGATATAAAACGCTAGAATTTAATTTTTTTATAGTCGTAAGTTCAGGAGATCCAACAAAGCGTATTTAATAATAATTATTATTAATAAAATTATAATAAAAGGTTATAATAATTATTGTAATGAGTTTATTTTAAACAATACAACATTGCAACCAAGTTGTGCATTCAGGATATCCAACAAAGTGTACTGTATTAAATAATACTAATTATTATCAAAGTTATAATAATAAGTTATAATGATAAAAGTAATACGTTTATTCTAAACATTGCAACCAAAAAGTTTAAGTTTTAAAGATAAATGAGTGCGAATAAAAATTATCAAATAACATGTTTACATAAATAAAGGATTAACATTAGGATCGAACTGGAGTTCGAAATGAGTTCGACATAAACCTTAGTTATCTAAAATTTAGATAAAGAAAAGGGATAAAAGTGAAACGTCCAGTCTTTCATTTGGGTACGTTGAAATAAATTGGACATGACATGTTATTTTTTAGCTCCTTGTATGTTCTGGAGGTGCGGAAGTAATTCAGCTCATCCTAGCCACTTTTTATTTTCTCATAAAATATTTGCATATTTCTAATCGCTGCTAATGTAAAGTGACAAGGTTTGTTTATACCATGGCAACAACATACGATAAATCAGGAAATATAATTCTGAGCGCCCTCTTAGTTGAATATTACAGTTACAATACTAAAAGTGCTTTGATTAAAATGAGATGTATTAATGACATTTATTCGATTTAAAACTACAATAAAAACATGCTACATGCGAACAACACAGGTAAATTCACAGCTCCACCGGTGTCTCAATTACATAACGACTGCAGTCTAATGTTTTCCCTAGCTGAAAATCACAAGCAACTGTAAAGTAGTCCTTTACAATGGCATCTGAGAAACGTTTTGTCCAGATGTTATTTACAATAAACCAGTTATTAATAAAGAAATCGGAGCTTGACGTTTCGGACCGCATTTTAGCGTCTCACTGCGCACACGTTGTAGTCGTATGGTGTGAAAGTGGACGCGTTAAAACCCTCCACTCCATCGGGTGGTTTCTCGCCCTCTGGTACCTTGAAGGTAAAATTCTGAAGCATCGTGGTGAGGAAAATGAACAACTCCATTTCAGCCAGTCCCTTGCCCAGGCAAGCACGGGGTCCTGAAATACAAATTAATTAATAATAATGATAATACCATGCCAATGTGGAGGCACTGAGCTGCAGCACGTGCTACTAGGGAGCTCGAGATATCCAAAGAGTTGGGCCAAAGCTACCAGTGTTAATTAAGATTCCAAACCATCTGAAACAAAAACGTTCAAAAGATTGAAATACGGCAAAAATGTAATGCTTTCCATGGTGGGACGTCAATCAGAGAACTGGAACTGTAAAACACGTACCTATGGAAAACGGTATCAGTTTGTCCGACTTGATCACTTTACTATTGTCATCCAGCCATCTTTCTGGTTTGAACTTGTAAGGATCCTCGAAGTTATTCTTATCGTGGAGAACCCGGTACAAGTCTCCCAGTATCATGGTCCCCTTGGGAATGGTGTATCCGTCTAAATTTATAGTTTCACTGGTAGCATGGGGAACTCCAAGAGGGACTGACGACATGGTAGAGAAAAAAGAATAAAATATATATTAGATTAAAATGGTTTATTTGAATATAGGGATAGTAGTAGAGAAAGTGAAGAAAGAAAGAGGGGTGAAACAAATGTTGATTTTCATAGCCTTTNATATATTAATACAGCGCGAGTTTTAAAGCTAAAATTACTGACCAACAGGGGAAATACGAAGGACTTCCAAAATGGTTGCTTCAGTGAACGGCATTTCAGCCTTGTCCTCCATCTTGGCAACACGACCTTGACCTATGACCTTGAATTAAAAGCAATAACCATTTAATATAATTTGTAAAAGAACCACGTACAACTGTACATTTTTGTGACACAGTTTCTTTACACAACATAAAATTGTTGCGATAATGTAAAAAAATTAGTCATCTCTCTGCTAGTTCTCTCTCTCTCTCTCTCTCTCTCTCTCTCTCTCTCTCTCTAGATCGTGCTGTTTATTACGTCGTTACCTGATCAATTTCCTGCTGCACCCTCTTCTGAACGTCCAGTTGATTAACCATATGTATGAGGGACCATCTCAAAGTATTTGCGGTTGTGTCAGTTCCAGCCAAATATAAATCTACGATGATGCGGAATACGTTCCATTCTGAAATTTACAAGATGTCTATTGCAAGTGAACTGTTAAAACGATTGAACAGAAACATACCCATTGTGCTACCACCTCGGTAAAACCACATGCTACGTACTGAAGTACCTTGCAGGCCAAACATTTCAAAGACATGTAGTCTAATTAAAAAAAGTACCCAGAGAGCACTGACCTCCACCAAGACAAACAATTACCTAATAATTAACCATCAAAAAATAAATGTGCCACTACCAAATTTTAATCAGTTTTAAGTAAGCCCACTTTGACCAATCCTAAAAATGTAATTAGAATCCATCCATAACTTTTTTGACCTAGGCTGATGAAGAACCAACAAACAAACAAACGGACGCGAAAACATAACATTCTTGGCTTAAAGGGATAATAACTCTTCGTTTCAGCCAAATAATGAATTTTCCTGGAGTAAACAACAATTTTTCCATACTTACCAATGGTTAATGAATCCATTTTTACATTCAAAGTTAGTTCTTGTTTTTTTTCTAAAAAATTTGTTTTATAACAGAGTATAGCCATCAATGGAGGTCATGTGCTCTAAAGACAAACTCAGATATCAGGATTATAGTTATTACTGCAGTTTTTGTAGTACAACAGAATATATTATATTTCTATGACTTGTTCACAATGTTTTGATTGTTAAATATAGATCCATACGAAGAGTTATTATCCCTTAAAGTAATAATTAACAGGTAAGTGTTATATTATATCACCAAAACGCTTAAGATCTTCACGGGAACAATTCCTTTAACAGCATCATACTGTACCCGCGTAGATCTCAGGATCTTGCTCTTCTTGGGTGACCTTTATGAAGAGGTCAATGAAGTCCCGGATGTCAGTTGGATCAAAGGACTGGCGGTGTCGGTCGACTTCCTGTCTTATCAAACTATACAGTCTGTCCACGAGGGCCATTATCTTCTTCATCTTAAAAGAAATCATATTAAATTGGAATACAAAAAAATTGTTTACAGTATGCCATACCTTTCTGAAACTTTTTTTCAGTACGATACTCAAATTACATGTACTGTACGAATTAAATGATTTGATTTACGGGTTAAAAACTTATAACGACAAAATGCTCTAATAACACGAGAAATGAATTGGAAATAAGTGAAAAGTATTTTGGTTAAGGCGGTAAAGAATTAATTTTTACCGGCATCAAAAAGCGAGCCAAGTTAGTAAACAACTCTATCCCTTCGCCAGCTCTCAACGCCTGCTCCAAAACTGGCAGCAATTCTGGAGTGTCATTATAGTCATGTCTGAAATCGATCCAAATTGTTACTGTTTTCAAGATGGGCAGCCATCGCATATTCCTGCCACATTGTCAATAGTGGCTCATGGATACATTTGTTGTAGGTATTACTTAATGATAATAAAAAATTTATGACAACAACATATACATAAACAAAAATTTGCCTCCATGTTTTTCTCCTAATTATGGACAACATAATCACTGAACCAACACCAAGTTGTTATTTGATGCCAAAAGAGGGAAGAGATGCTTTGACCATAGCTTAATTACGTCCCAAGCTCTCAATTTCAGCTAGATTGTCATATCATTGATTCAGATAACTACCGGTAGTATTTTTGAATGCATCCGTGAAAATAAGATTCCATGTAAACGTTTGACAACTATATGTACAGGCTGTTGTTCAGCTTCTTTTAAAAGTCAAATGGCCTAAAAAATGAAATGCAGCCTCTCTGTACTCTTACTGCTATCTTACCGGTATTAATTATGTCTTTAATAATGGTGAGGCAACAGAAAGATCCTCGTTTACCTGACTCCAAACACAATGGTTGCAATAATGTTGCTGACAGCTTTTCCAACCCTGTCTCTGGGAGAGAAGGCCTTTCCATTTTCATCTTCAATGTTTTGCACCAAGTACCTTGCCTCATCCTGAATTCTTTCTTGTAAACTTTTCCTCCCGAGGCCGAGATCTCGAAGAGACGAGAGCGTGAATCTCCTCAGCTCTTTCCATTCGTGTCCAGATTTAAATATAACTCCAGCTCCTACAGATGAAATAACTAAGTTAAAGAAAATGTTCATTAACCAATATTTTAATACTTTCCATACACATTTACAAAAGTCTTCACAACTTTTTTATTTATTTTATTTTATAAACAAGCCTCGAAAGACTTTAGTTCATGTATATTACACTACTGTAGGAAGTGGTCCAAACCATATTCCCCTACAATAATGAAAGTGAAATTAAAAAAAAAAATAAATATTTCTGAAATCAAGAATAAATAAAAGCTACATTATAATATTTCAAGATTGTTTAAAAATGAGTCCATAAGCAGTGTTGTTTTATTCCATTTTCTTGAAGATACCGATAGTAAATGATACAAATAATAATGAATACAAATATGTTTTACTTCACTTACAAAGTTAAGAGAATTCTTACAAATTACAACATAAAAAGGAGCGTGATGCTTCCATACATGTTTAAAATTTAAGATTACAAAATGCATGTGATCAAAAAAGAGACAGGTGCAAAGTACTTTATTCATATATAATGCAATTCTGATCATGTATGCTTTTACACAAGTACGCTAACAGCATCACGCATGGCTGAATGTTTAATACACCATGGTCAAAATATTTGATAAATCTCACCTTCAAATAATGGCAAATCACAGTGCATTCAAATACAACTAGAAAATGGATTTTTCAAGCACAATGTCAAAAATGAATTAAATTTGTCATCTTATATAATGCAAAAAAGCAATGCATCAAAGGATACCTTACTCATTGAAAAGATGTTTAAGAAAGTTCACCGTAAATCAACCATAATTAGTAAAATACAAATATGTAATAACACACTAAAACATTCTACCAATTACAAAGAAAGTAGAGAATATTCATCGCACAATTAATTGTATCACAAGTGTCACAAAAATGAAAAGTTATTTGTAGCAGCAAATTATATATAAAATCGAAATTGTGAAATGACCCGAGAAAGAAATGGACCAAATATTTTTCTTTATTTATACATATTATATATTTTTCCTTTATCTTCAGGTAGATCATTTTCTGAAATACAAATAAAGCACTTTTACCATTCACAATAAGGGATTGACTGGTCTAATTTTACAAAATCTATCTTACCTGAGACATCATCAACATCTTTGCGGTTAGGAATATTCTCTAAATCACCAATGATATCTAAAGTTCCATTTTCAATGAATAAATAACTATCCTACTGTTTCCTTGTAGACAATTGTTGGATGTGACGACCCGACATGTTCGACAGGCCAGATATGTCCTACGACCAGAGAACATGCAGGCCAGATATGTCCTACGACCAGAGAACATGCAGGCCAGATATGTCCTACGACCAGAGAACATGCAGGCCAGATATGTCCTACGACCAGAGAACATGCAGGCCAGATATGTCCTACGACCAGAGAACATGCAGGCCAGATATGTCCTACGACCAGAGAACATGCAGGCCAGATATGTCCTACGACCAGAGAACATGCAGGCCAGATATGTCCTACGACCAGAGAACATGCAGGCCAGATATGTCCTACGACCAGAGAACATGCAGGCCAGATATGTCCTACGACCAGAGAACATGCAGGCCAGATATGTCCTACGACCAGAGAACATGCAGGCCAGATATGTCCTACGACCAGAGAACATGCAGGCCAGATATGTCCTACGACCAGAGAACATGCAGGCCAGATATGTCCTACGACCAGAGAACATGCAGGCCAGATATGTCCTACGACCAGAGAACATGCAGGCCAGATATGTCCTACGACCAGAGAACATGCAGGCCAGATATGTCCTACGACCAGAGAACATGCAGGCCAGATATGTCCTACGACCAGAGAACATGCAGGCCAGATATGTCCTACGACCAGAGAACATGCAGGCCAGATATGTCCTACGACCAGAGAACATGCAGGCCAGATATGTCCTACGACCAGAGAACATGCAGGCCAGATATGTCCTACGACCAGAGAACATGCAGGCCAGATATGTCCTACGACCAGAGAACATGCAGGCCAGATATGTCCTACGACCAGAGAACATGCAGGCCAGATATGTCCTACGACCAGAGAACATGCAGGCCAGATATGTCCTACGACCAGAGAACATGCAGGCCAGATATGTCCTACGACCAGAGAACATGCAGGCCAGATATGTCCTACGACCAGAGAACATGCAGGCCAGATATGTCCTACGACCAGAGAACATGCAGGCCAGATATGTCCTACGACCAGAGAACATGCAGGCCAGATATGTCCTACGACCAGAGAACATGCAGGCCAGATATGTCCTACGACCAGAGAACATGCAGGCCAGATATGTCCTACGACCAGAGAACATGCAGGCCAGATATGTCCTACGACCAGAGAACATGCAGGCCAGATATGTCCTACGACCAGAGAACATGCAGGCCAGATATGTCCTACGACCAGAGAACATGCAGGCCAGATATGTCCTACGACCAGAGAACATGCAGGCCAGATATGTCCTACGACCAGAGAACATGCAGGCCAGATATGTCCTACGACCAGAGAACATGCAGGCCAGATATGTCCTACGACCAGAGAACATGCAGGCCAGATATGTCCTACGACCAGAGAACATGCAGGCCAGATATGTCCTACGACCAGAGAACATGCAGGCCAGATATGTCCTACGACCAGAGAACATGCAGGCCAGATATGTCCTACGACCAGAGAACATGCAGGCCAGATATGTCCTACGACCAGAGAACATGCAGGCCAGATATGTCCTACGACCAGAGAACATGCAGGCCAGATATGTCCTACGACCAGAGAACATGCAGGCCAGATATGTCCTACGACCAGAGAACATGCAGGCCAGATATGTCCTACGACCAGAGAACATGCAGGCCAGATATGTCCTACGACCAGAGAACATGCAGGCCAGATATGTCCTACGACCAGAGAACATGCAGGCCAGATATGTCCTACGACCAGAGAACATGCAGGCCAGATATGTCCTACGACCAGAGAACATGCAGGCCAGATATGTCCTACGACCAGAGAACATGCAGGCCAGATATGTCCTACGACCAGAGAACATGCAGGCCAGATATGTCCTACGACCAGAGAACATGCAGGCCAGATATGTCCTACGACCAGAGAACATGCAGGCCAGATATGTCCTACGACCAGAGAACATGCAGGCCAGATATGTCCTACGACCAGAGAACATGCAGGCCAGATATGTCCTACGACCAGAGAACATGCAGGCCAGATATGTCCTACGACCAGAGAACATGCAGGCCAGATATGTCCTACGACCAGAGAACATGCAGGCCAGATATGTCCTACGACCAGAGAACATGCAGGCCAGATATGTCCTACGACCAGAGAACATGCAGGCCAGATATGTCCGACAAAAAAAGAGCCAGGTGTGTACATATCTGGCCTGTCGGACACATCTGGCTCTTTTTTGTCGGACATATCAGGCCTGTCGGACATAGCGGGTCGTCACAGGGGGATCATTTTATTTTCTCCCCTCAGGTATTTCAATTTGAGATGTTAATTTCGTTTCACAGGATCATGTTTAAGATCAATGGTACAAATACATTACTTACCATCTGTGGTAGAAATAACACTAGACATTTCATCTCCTAGGCGTGGCACAAAATTTCATCTAAAAGTTAAATAAAAACAAAAATTACTTTTTTTCAAAATGAAGTGCAAATTTTTCCAAGCGAAGAAAGTTGGAAAACTAGATCATCTAAAGGATTGAAACTTAAATTAGTTCATCAAGTTTGAAAACTATCGTCAGCCGATATTTAGCAAAACTCCTTTATAGTCGCTAACGTTATACTCTTGGAGTGTACATGTGGCCTTCAAAAATAAAACCAAGCTGCAATCGCAGTAACATTTAGTCACTCTAATGCCATATAGTACACAGCGAAGACTGTCATAATTCAGATTAGCTAAAATATATAAAGAAATAAGATTTTAATTACTTACAATTTGCTGTCGGCATTTTCATCCGTCCCCTCTCTTCAGTTACGTTTGCAGTCACGTAACATACGCTGCGAATGATTTAGGGTAGTGATTGCAATAAATAATAGACCCGATCATAAAGCCGTCTGGGTTTATAAGTTACACTAAATAGGGTAAAAAACTAAGTCTTCTATTTTCTTTTTCTCAAACCCAAGTATAGTTACTTCAGTACATCACCTACATACTAGTACAACGGGTATCAAGTCATGGGTCACATAACAGCCCCCACAAAATTGTACCCGAGTTCAATTTGAGAGAACGTGTAACGATATGGCGTATTCAGATCTATCCAAGGGGAAAAGAATTCTGACGCACCACTACCCCTCTCTTTTAACTCCTTGTTTCCTCGTTTACTGCTTCCCCCACCCCCACACTCTCTCTCTCTCTCTCTCTCTCTCTCTCTCTCTCTCTCTCTCTCTGAACACAATGCTGGAAATGTCAGTGTGCACGCGTAAAGATATACATGTACGTGACAAGCATGGTACGTAAATTTTGAAATCTCATAATTACCGTCCTTTCCAACTATTTGTCTTATGAAATATATCCAAGTAGGTCTATCGCTGACTGTGGCCGCATTCTTCACGAAAGCCTCTTGTATCAGCTCATGAGTTCCCAACAATATCGCGTGTTGCTCACCAAATTTGACGTGTATGATATCCCCGTATGTATCATACCATGGAAGAAGGTCTGTCGGTTGTCGTCTCCTACCGCTAATCATCATCTGTGGGAGACATCCCACCACGGGGAAACAGACAGGTCCGGGCGGCCAGTTCACCCGAGGATTCTTCGACGACAGCATCCACAGACTTAACAACAGCACTGCCACGAATATCAAAACAGTCGGCAGACCGACAGTAGAAAAAAACTCGACGAGACTGTGCACGATCTTGGCCATTTTTTCTCCCTGGTTAAGACCGTCAAAATCCGCCCGTTACAATCTCTATACACCAGTGTAATGTAAGAACTACATGTAAAATGGAACGCTTAACTCGTCTCAAGGTCAATCCCTGCAACATGCAATCTTAGATTACTTGTGCACAATTGCAAAACAAACCTCACATCCGGCATGCTGAAAGTATACCCCAGCAAAACTATTTGTGTGCATAGGGTTAGAGGGTAGCCCACTTTCTTTTGTGAAAATGCATTTATGGTGCAATTTGGGGGCATTTAGCAGTACCAGGGAGACAGGTTTAATATGCATAATTTGCCTTTTTACAGGAATAAAAATCCCAAAACATTCACTACAGTTCGTGAGCATTTAACTGGAGACCAGTATCATAAATATCAGTTCCCGTAAGGTCAGAAAATTGGGTCGATCTATTGAATTTAACCCGTAACCACTGTAGAGCTGCATTTTACAACTGAATGCATTTTCAACCGACTACAAAATGTGTTCAGCTGCAAAATGCGGCGCAACTTCTTATGATAGATTTATTAATCCCCGAAGCATATACAATGTAATTTCTTTTAGGATATAACAATGTGAAATAGATTTTTCATGTACATAATATCGTCCGCCCCAGGGGCAGCCTGACCAAATGTAGCATACCTAGCCGGAGGCAAACCCGTCCAGTTTTATAGTTCTTCAAACCATTTCAGTGACTTTGAAAAAACTCCTGGGTTTTAAAATGCGTTCCGGTTGCAAAATGCTTTTTCACGATTTTCTTTTGTTGCAATTGCGTTTAGTTGCTGAATGCATCTCTACTGATTGCGCTGCATTTTGCAACTGAACACATTTTTTGCATCCGGTTGCAGAATGGGTTCGAATGTAAAATGCAGCTCTACAACGTTGATATATATACACCTTATAATACATACAGAACTTGTTGGAGATCAGGCTCAGCAGCCACCAACAAAAAATCAAGACGAGTCTCGACTGCTTCCCGTCCTCATCATGAGAATAATGAATAGGATAGGAAACTTGCAGAAAAGGTTTTGTCTGCCTCCGCCTATTTTTGGACTTGATACATCTATCGCATATATATATATATATATATATATATATATATATTATATATATATATATATATATATATATATATATATATATTATGTGTGTGTGTGTGTGTGTGTGTGTACCATATTGAGGATTCATGTCCATTCACCGTACAGATCTTATGGGAAAAAGTAAGTATTATTGCTGATGCACCTCTGAAGATCTACTTTACAGATGTCAAATATAACCCAAGCTTTCGGCCCCTAGGCCTTCTTCGGGGATTATCTCTTTAGCGATGCATCAGCAATAATACTTTTTTTATATATTCCATATTATGCCGATCGATTCAAATGGCTGAACCACTCATCTTTTGAACACGAAATATTGAGTAACAACAACTTTAAAAATAATGAGGATAAATATTTAAACATTCGTTTCTTTGTCTGTGAAGAACATTTCACTAAAAGTCGAGGACGGATTTTGATGAAATTTTTAGGAAAGGTCTCTAATAGACGATGGAAGAAATAATTACATTTCAGTGATGATGCATCAATTAATATTAATCAATTATGTGCAGATTTTGATGAAACGTTCAGGATAGGTCTCGCATAATAATAATAATAATAATATATTTATTTAACGTCTAAAATCCATAAAAATGTTTTGTAGATTTTACAAACTAAAAACAAAGTTAAAATGAATTGAATTAATAAAATTATGATCTAAGAGTCTGAGCTAAGATAATGATGTCCAGTTAATATTTCCGAGTTATAAAATGTTCTTTAATAAAATTTGTTTAAAAAGTATGTTTTTAAAGCTTTTTTAAAATCCTCCACTGAGCTAATTATGCTTCTCAAGTCCACAGGTAATTTATTCCACTCATGTGGTGCCGCGTACTGGAATGATTTTTCGCCAAAAGATTTGTCTTGCGTTCTGTGGTTTTAGTAATAATTGATCCTTAGTTATTTAGGTACAATTTTGTGTGTAATGAGATACAAGTTCACAAATAAAATCTGGCGCAAGTCCATAAAAAGCGGCAAGCGCATGAGTTAAAAGTTTGAATAAGATCCGGGCGTTTACAGGTAGCCAGTGAAGTTGTTTTAATATCGGTGTCATGTGATTCTCCATAGAAGTTCGGGTAAGAAAACGTGCTGATATATTTTGGATGCGTTGGACTTTCTTTGTTCTTTCTATGCGGCATCCATAGAGCAAGGAGTTTTAGTAATCAAGCCTTGATGTTACTAGGGCATGAATGACCGTGGCAGTGGCAGAATCTGTTAAATTATTTCCTAGGGCCAAATAAGAAAAGATTAGGTTTTGGTGATGAATATTAATTAAGTAATGGCTACTTACAGGCTAATTTTTTGTCTAGGAGGAGGTTTTGCTCTCTGAATGCTTTTCCAGTTTAAACTGAGATACATGTGCAAAAGACAAACTACTTTAAAACAGGTTACATTTCTCCAAATAATCACCGACACCGTATAACATAATGGACAAAACAATAAACGTCATATAAAGGGCATATGGACGCAGATAGAGCGCGTGTTTATTTCAGACCTTTTCAGTTGTATATATACAACAAATCACAATAAAAAATAAGTCAAATGAGTCAAATTCAATGCATCTTTCCGTAGATAATCAATAGGAGACCCTTCCCAAACAGTTCTTACCGTGCTAACCTCTCCCTTTCAAAGGGAATCACCTGGATACCAGCTGTCTTGAGCTCATACTTCCCTTACATAGGCAGGTCTTGAGCGGATTAAGCTTTCTCTAACTCGAGCCTCAGATTTGTGGGCACAAAAGCCCCAAGGACGACTCCAGCCCCGAATTAACTAACCCAGCGTAAAATCATTTGCCACAAGCAGAGCGTTTCACTTATAATAATAATAATAATAATAATAATAATAATAAGGCACAAAAAGATAATGCAAGTGCACAATAAAGCATTTTGTCAGTTCTGATGCAATATTACATATACTTAACAGCATCATCACCACCAAATTTTAATTATGTACTACAGATAACATGGTCATTCGGAAATTTTAAATAACTTCACGCAACACAATCCAATCAAGATGGTTTGCCGATCTAGGGTGTTTTTAGACCTAAGGAACATTTTAAGGGAGAAATGACAAGTAACACGGCATTCCTTTTACAGGTTTTGCTGTGACAGTATACTAAACAGAGGTTTTGTGTAATTTTGGAACAATATTACATAATAATTAACAGCATAATCACCGCTAATTTTTAAAAAACTTATACTACTGGTAACATGAAATCCAGAAAATGTTACTTAATTAGGGCTTCAGTCCCACGGGATTTCAAAACGACACATAGAAAATACCAACATGTAAAAATGAAGATGTCACAAAAATGAATATCTTCAAGAAAACAATTCAATAAAAGATGTGATCCAAACTTGACCTGTTCTTAAGTGACACGAATCACACCAGCAAGGTTAAGGACGGGACTATTATTTCACGTTTTCCCATAGTTTGCGTCAACGGGGAAAATGCACGGCGACGACTACGCCGATGAAGACGACATGCGCAGGCTATATGTATAGACAAACTTTGTCTCTAAATACTGTATCAGTGCATACTGTGTCTGTAAATAAATCGGCATTTCTGGGAATGAGATACCAGAAAGAATGCCAAATACAAAATGCATTTTAATTATTAACGGTTTGAAATGCAAGAACGCCGTTTAGATGTTGCAGTTTATAAAATGAATAAACTACAGAAAAGTCGAAAGAAAGAAATCTTTGAGGATGCCAGATTTTAGATTTTTAAGTACTTACATTCCTGGGGATTTTTAAGCTTTTAAAGTTGTTCATTCTGAGTTTGGTAAAGGTGGTGCTTATGTGCTCACTAATGTTCATTTTCCAGCATCATTTTTTCATGAAATAACGGAATAAGACCTAAGCCAAAGTGTAAAATCACGTTTTGACGAGGTCATACACACACTGGACAAAAGAAGTGTCACCCCTAGTGAGCCAATATTATGGGGGAGATAAATGACTGTGGAATGATATGCTCCTGGTATCATTTTATTTACATCAAATTTCACAAAGAATCACAAAATGAGAACAAAATATACATTCTACCAAAATATGTAGTTTCAAGTCCAAAATTAGTACTTAGCGGCATAGCCACGTGACCTAATAATAGGTGCCAGTCTACGAAGCAAGGATTCATTTAATTGTCTGATGCGTTCAGGGCTTATGCTGGCCCAAGCATGAAACACTGAATATAACAGAGTTTCTCTGCTGGTTAGACGGGCATTTGTAAAAAGTTTTGACATATCATTCCACGCATTTTCTATTATGTTTGTATCCGGACTCTGGGCAGGCCACATCACCCTGCGAATGTCCTGTTGGTCAAACCAATCATCAACTGCTCTGGGCCTGTGACAAGGAGCATTGTCATCCTGGTGAACAGATGGATAATTCATTTCACCAAACATGTTAGTAATAGATGGTAGCAAGCCTGACTCCAAAACATCGATATATTTCTAGTGATTCATGTTTCCATTAACCACTATCAATTCGCCCAAGCCATGGATGCTGATGCAGCCCCACACCATGATNCAAACAAACATAATACAAATATACAGCCTCTAATTATTGATAATAAATTACACTGTCCAAAATTGTTCACACGTGTGAGGTGATCATTTCCAAACAAAAACAGAGGTGGGACAAACTTTGTGACCAAGTCTATTAAACTTGGAAGCGATGGTGTAGGTTACAGGCATATCGCAGCCACACAATTTTGTACCATTTACATTTAATTTACCCTTCTTAAAAATGCAACTTGCAAGCAACTGCACAAAGTTTATTAAATGCGATTTCTGGCAAACGCTTTTGCCAAAAGGCAATGTACAGTAAACTATTTCTAGACTAAACTGAGTATTTTAATTTGTATACCGTCAGTCTTGTCAGACGTATTTATACAGATACCATTATTAATGTCCAAGTGCAAGTGACAGTGACAGTGTATCTCCGTTCTAGCGTCTAACGGCGCACACGTCGTAGGGGTATGGCGTGAAAGAGATCGTGTTGAGGCCTTCCACTCCATCAGGTGGTTTCTCGCCCTCTGGCACCTTAAAGGTAAAATTCTGAAGCAACGTGGTGAAGAAGATGAACGATTCCATTTCAGCATGCCCCTTGCCCAAGCAAATACGGGGACCTGGAAAAAATATATATAACAATAAAGTTAATAGAAATTTAATAAATTATTCTTTGTTTAGGTTGTACTTGGTGTCCTCCATCAAATTCCAACGAAGGATCTACTACAATAAGTTATCTGACAGAAGTTAATAGTCTGGAAGCCATGGTGGTCGTTATAGAGACGGTTGAGGTATGATACATACACAACATGTAAAAGACAGTGTATTTCAACAACATGTTAATGTGTAAGTGCAATTATCATTATTATTATCAATTTATTATTTATAATTTTTTTTTTTAAATTCTAACGGATTTAAGAATGAAACACATGTACTGCAGCGTACCCATAGAAAACGGTATCATTTTGTCCGACTTGATCACTTTACCATCATCATCCAGCCATCTTTCTGGTTTGAGCTTGTAAGGATCCTCGAAGTTATTCTTATCGTGAAGAACCGGGTACAAATCTCCCATTATTATGGTGCCTTTGGGAATGGTGTATCCTGCCAAGTTGGTTGTTTCACTGGTGGCATGGGGCGCACCCATCGGAACTGTTGACATGGAGGAAAACAGCTATCGTATATCAAGCTGGGATAATTGACAGATGGGGGAGAGGGCAGCGAGAGAGAGAGATAAATATGAATAATATCAATTTTCATTGTCCTGTACATTCTTAAAACGACTAGGTCTACTTTCCAGTTGAGCTAAAACGGACCTTAAAATGTTTAACGCCCTGTGCATAAAACATCTGCATACTAAGTTATATGTATCATGTGACGTTTTGACTGGAAAACCAAACTTTTATCAAACACGTGGCAGGAAATAGGGCAGACTTGCGTCCTCATTTCTCCTATTTCCATTTTAAATCATACCCAATCTTGGTTGTTAATGCTTAAAATTTGTTAAAGAATCAACTGTTGGTAGTTATTTCCAAACTGAAAGGATATAATGCGAGTATTTACTGAAATTAAGATTAAAATTACTGACCAACTGTGGACAAACGAAAGACCTCCAAGATGGTTGCTTCCGTGAACGGCATCCTGGCCTTGTCCTCCATCTTGGCAACACGACCTTGACCTATGACCTGAAATTAAACACATTAAATGATCAATGCATTAATATTTTCGATAAAAACCACGTACATTTTGTAACACAGTGTACTTTTACAAGCATAAAAATTGTTTCCGCAAAATGAAAATAGAAAGCCAACTTTTCTACTAATAATATATCCTTCTGGCGCTCATTTTTACGGTGTTACCTGATCAATTTCCTGCTGCACCCTCTTCTGAACGTCCGGATGATTTACCATATGAACCAGGGACCATCTCAAGGTGGTAGCCGTTGTGTCGGTTCCAGCCAAATATAGATCAACGATGATGCGAAATACGTTCCATTCTGAAATTTAAGCTCATTGCATGATTGAATCTGTTTCATAATTTCACAGCTACCTCAGTGAAACCACATGCTCGCCTATTTGTACGCTTGTAAACACGTGTATATATGGATAATCCACCACTGATCAGTAGAAGTTTATACGATCTATTGACTAGTTAGCATTCAATGTTGTCGGGCCCAAACGTCTCAAATAAAGACAAATATTAATCACATATTCACATTTTTCAATGCAAGGTTCGATCTTTACATGAACGGGTCCTTTAACAGCAATATACCGTACCTGTGTATATCTCGGGATCTTGCTCCTCTTGGGTGACCTTTATGAAGAGGTCAATGAAGTCCCGGATGTCAGTTGGATCAAAGGACTGGCGGTGTCGGTCCACTTCCTGTCTTATCAAACTATACAGCCTGTCCACAAGGGACATTATCTTCTCCATCTAAAATAAAAGCATTCTAAATTTTGTGGGATGCAAGTAAATTCAATTCTTTACAGTATGGCATACATTACAGAGGCTTTATTTCAGTACAGTTCTCAAATTATGTATTAAATTACTTGATTTACTGGTTATTAACTAATAACGACAAAATGTTCCAATAACACGAGAAATGAATAGGAAATAAGTGAAAAGTAATTTGATTAAGGCGGTGAAGAATTTATTATTACCGGCATCAAAAAGCGAGCCAAGTTAGTAAAAAACTGTATCCCTTCGCCAGATTTCAACGCCTCCTCCAAAACTGGCAGCAATTCTGGGGTGTCATTAAAGTCATGTCTGAAATTGTTCCAAAATGTCACTGTTTTCAAGATGGGCAGCCATCGCATATTCCTGCCACATTGTCAATAGTGGCTCATGGATACATTTGTTGTAGGTATTACTTAATGATAATAAAAAATTTATGACAACAACATATACATAAACAAAAATTTGCCTCCATGTTTTTCTCCCAATTATGGACAACATAATCACTGAACCAACACCAAGTTGTTATTTGATGCCAAAAGAGGGAAGAGATGCTTTGACCATAGCTTAATTACGTCCCAAGCTCTCAATTTCAGCTAGATTGTCATATCATTGATTCAGATAACTACCGGTAGTATTTTTGAATGCATCCGTGAAAATAAGATTCCATGTTAACGTTTGACAACTATATGTACAGGCTATTGTTCAGCTTCTTTTAAAAGTCAGATGGCCTAAAAAAAATGTAATGCAGCCTCTCTGTACTCTTACTGGTATCTTACCGGTATTAATTATGTCTTTAATAATGGTGAGGCAACAGAAAGATCCTCGTTTACCTGACTCCAAACACAATGGTTGCAATAATGTTGCTGACAGCTTTTCCAACCCTGTCTCTGGGAGAGAAGGCCTTTCCATTTTCATCTTCAATGTTTTGCACCAAGTACCTTGCCTCATCCTGAATTCTTTCTTGTAAACTTTCTTGTAAGATGGGCAGCCATTATATATTCTTGACACATTGTCAATAGTGGCTCATGGATACATTTGCCACGGCCACGGGTATTGATTATTGATAACAATATATTCATATAAGAACAACATAAACATTAAAAATCTGTCTTCATACACGATTATTTAATAATATAGAATACATAATCATCGAGCCGAACACCATGTTGCAATGAAATTCCAAAGAGGGGAAGAGATGCTTTTACCACAGCTTAATTAAGTCCCAAGCTCTCAATTTCAGCTGGATTGTCATATCTGTTATTCAGATAACTAGGGGAGACCGGGGTTAGTTGGACCCCGGGGTAAGTTGGACCCCCATCAAGTCTCTTTAATAAAGTTATTTTAAGATGCTAAATTATTTCATTTGGACTCACTGCCGACGCTTTCTTAGCACTATTGGATACGGTCACTTTACAAAATGATGTGATCAATTCTTTTACCCCATAGTTACTTTGTCATAAATTGATGGAGGGGGGGGGGGGGGGCAACTTAACCCGGGGTCCAACTAGCCCCAGTCTCCCCTACTGGTAGTATTTTTGAATGCATCTGTAAAAATTAGATTCCATGTTAACGTTTGTCAATTACATGTACAGGTTGTCACAGAGCATCTTTTAAAGGTCAGCCCCATGTAGCCTGAAAGTATTCAACATAGCCTCTCTCTACTCATTCCATCTTTAAGAACGGTTAGGCGACAGAAAACGCCGATTTTACCTAGCTCCAAACACAATGAGAGAAATAATGTTGCTGGCAGCTTTTCCAATCCTGTCACTGGGAGAGAAAGCCTTTCCATTTTCATCTTCAATGTTTTGCACCAAGTATCGAGCCTCGTCCTGAATTCTCTCTTGCAAACTTTTTCTCCCGAGGCCGAGATCTCGAAGAGACGAGAGCGTGAATCTCCTCAACTCTTTCCATTCATGCCCGGATTTAAATATAACTCCAGCCCCTGCAGTTAAATCACTATGTTATAGAAAATCTTCATTAACCAATATTTTAATAACTTCCATACACGTACAGAAGTCTTCACAATATAAGTCCCTTAAGTTCATTATGCTCTGACCCATACTGTTTGATCAGGCCCGTACCCAGCAATCAAAAGGGTGGCGTTTCTTTCTGAAAAATTGGACCTTTTTATCGCAAAACCGAAATATGTTCAAGTCTCGTTCTTTTTATTGAAACAAAAATTTAACTTTAAATCGTGTTTTTTTAATAAACTGAGAAGTGGTTAAAACTACATTTCCTTACTAAAAGAATGGAAGTGAAGAAACACTAAATATGTCTGAAATCAAGAATAAATAAAAGCTACATGTACATTATAATATTACAAGAACTGTTTTAAAAATTAGTTCATAAGCAGTGTTATTTTATTCCATTTTCATGAACATACTGGTACAACATGTAGTAAATGATACAGAACATCACATCTTTGCACCAATAATATTGGACACAAATGTTTTACTTCACTTACAAAATTAAGAAACTTCTTAGAAATAACAAAAAAAAAAAAAAAAAAAACGCGATGCTTTCATTCATGTGTAAAATTTAAGATTACAAAATGCATGTGATAAAAAAATGAGACTGGTACAATGTACTTTATAGTTATTCATATATAATGCAATTCAGATTATGTATGTTTTTACTCAAGTACGCTGACAGCATCACGCAAAATGTGTGAACTTTAGTGTAAGTACATATACCCTAAATGACAGAATGTTTGATACACCGTGATCAAAATCTTTGATAAATCTCACCTTGAAATAAGGACACATCACAGTGCATTCAAATATAATTAGAGCATGGATTTTTCAAGCACAATGTCAAAATATGAATTAATTGTTTCATCTTATATGATGCAGAAATGCAATGCAACAAACGAGACTTTGCTCATTGAAAGGGGGTATAAGAATAAACATCGTAAATCACCCATAATAACCCTTTATAAAATAAAAATATGTAGTAAAATACTTAAACACTCTCTCAACTAGAAAGAAAGGAATGAATCTGTTATTGCACAATTAATTACAAGTGTCACAAAAATGAAAAGTAATACGTAGAAGTAAATTTTACATATCAGTGGCGAATTAAGGGGGGGGGTGTCAGAATGGTATTGACCCCCTTCTATTCTGAAAAGGAATCACACCGATGGTCCCCTGTTGAAATTATAATTTTGAATAATAATATATATAATTTTAGCTGAACCATAGTTCTAAACTGTACAGAATGGCACCGTTCGCCGTCTAGCGGGCCCAAAACCCCACGCCAGGGCAGGAGGAAGGGGGGTCGGCTTTGCATCCGCGGCCTTTCATTCCAAAAAATGGGTCCCCTTCAAATAATCCTGGATCCGCCACGGCCTCCGTATACACAAATAATCGAAATTGTGAAATGAAGAGTGACTAGAGACCTGAGAAAGAGATGGACCAAAGATTTTCCTTAATTTTTTTCTGGGAGATTTTTCATAATCTTCAGGTGGATCATTTTCTGAAAAACAAACCAATACAGCACTTTTAACATGCACAATAAAAGTTTAACTGGTATAATTTTTTTTAATTATCTTACCTGAGAAATCATTCACATGTTTTGGTGGTTAGGAATATTTTCTCATTCATCAATGATATTTACAGCTCCATTTTCATGGAATAAATAACTATCCTACTGTTTAGTTGTAGGCCAGTGGGAATCAATATGTCTTCTCCTTCAGGTCTATCAATTTGAGACATTCATTTAGTTTCAAAGGATCATGTCTAAGATCAATGGTACAAATACATCGCTTGCCATCTGTGGTAGAAATAGCACTAGACATTTCATCTCCTTGGCGCGGCACAAAATTTCATCTAAAATAAAATAAAAACAAAAAAAATCTTTTAAAAAATGAGCACTCAAAATGGAGTGTAATATTATTCCGAGTCAAGAAAGTTGGAAAGTTAGATAAATTAAAAGATTGAAACTTAATTACTTCACCTAAAGTTTGGATACTATGGTCAATCTACAAAAACATATTTTGCAAACCCCGTCAGTGTGCATGTAGCCTTCAAAAGCTGCACTCCCAGAAATATTTACGTCACTCTAATGCATAGAGCACGGTGAAAATAGCCAGAATACTGACCAGCTATAAAAGCATATGACAGTTTAGCGTTTCTAAAATAAGGACTAGATATCAGATTTTACTTACAATTAACTTTCCGCATTTTCATCCGTCCTCTCTCTTCAGTAACGTTTGCAATCTTGTAACGATTACATACGCTGCGAATGATTTAGGGTAGACTAGTGATTGCAATAAATATCAGATCCAACGATAAAGCCGTCTGGGTTTATAAGATACTTTAAACAGGAAAAAAAACAAGTCGTCTGTTTTCTTTATGTCAAACCGGAGCATACTTACACCACCGCAATACTAGTATAAAGGATATCAGGTCATGGGTCACTTAACATCTACCACACAATTGTACCTGAATTCGTTTTATGGGAAGGAGTAACGATATGGCACGGATCCAAGGGGAAATTACATCTGATGTACCCCTACCCCTCTCTTCTCACTCCCTGTGCTGCTGCTCACCCCCCCCCTCCCACCACCACCACACACACTCACACACACAATATTAACACATTCCTGGAAATACCAGTGTGCACGCATAAAGAGGAACATATAGGTACGTGAAAATGCACTGTACGGAAATTTTGAAATCTAGTCATTACCGCCCTTTCCAACTGTTTGTCTTAGGAAATATATCCAAGTAGGTCTAGCACTGACTGTGGCTGCATTCTTCACGAAAGCCTCTTGGATCAGCTCATAAGTCCCCAGCATTATCACATGCTGCTCACCAAATTTGACGTGCATGATATCTCCGTATGTATCATACCATGGAAGAAGATCTGTCGGTTGTCTTCTCCTTCCGCTGATTATCAGCTGTGGGAGACATCCCACCACGGGGAAACAGAGAGGCCCGGGCGGCCATTTCACCCGCGGATTCCTCGACGACAGAATCCACAGACTTAACAACAACCCTGCCACAAATATCAAAACAGTCGGCAGACCGACAGTAGAAAAATACTCGAAGAGACCGTACGCGACCTTGGGCATTTTGGCTCCCTGGATGAGGCTGCCAAGCTTATGATGACCTAAACCCGACAGTTAAATTCCTTTGTCAGTGAAATGTAAGAACTAAAATGAAACGCTGAAGTCGTTTCAAGGTCAATCCCTGCAACATGCAACCCTAGAGTTCGTGTGAACAATTGCTTAACAAACCTCACTGTCGGCGAACTGAAAGTGTACCGCAGCAAAACTATTTGTGTGCATAGGGTTAGGGTAGCCTACTTTCTTTTGTGAAAATGCATTTATGGTGCAAATTGGGGGCATTTAGCAATACCTCCTTGAACGCCATTCCATCTTCTTGTCATTGTAGTATTAAGCCAGGGAGACAGGTTTGCTATGCCTAGTTTGCCTTCAAAGAGAAGGAGACTTCTTCCCAAATGTATTCTACTGAAAATCCCAGGGGACATATGTGGCTTTGTTGAAATGAATAGTAGGAATAAAATATCAAGGCCCTCAGCTCGAGACCGGGATCATAAATATCAGTCCCCATGAGATCAGAAAACTGAGTCGATCTATTGACATTAACCTGTAAACATTGTAGAGCCGCATTTTGCAACTGCAACGCATTTTACAACTAAAGAAAATCATGCAAAACTTATTTTGCAACCAGGATTTTTTTCTAAGTCGCTTAATTTGTTTGTAGTACTAAATAGGTAGAATTGGAATGCAGACGAGGTTGCCTCGGCTAGGTACGCTGAATTTGGTCAGGCTGCCCCCGGGGCGGACGATTATGTACATGTATATTATAATCTTTTTCAAGTTGTTATTTCCTAGAGTTTCAGAGTAATAGGTACGTCGGGGATTAATAAACCTATAATTAGGGGGTTTCAGTGGCTCTTCAGAATTTTATTTTGACTTGGGGTGTGGTCGTCCCTAAGGTTGGTTGATTTTTACTTTTATTTTACATCATAATATCTGCCATCCACCCACAGTAAAGCCTATTCAGAGTTAGAAAAATGAAACCAAATAATCACTTGGGATGTGGAAAGGCATGTAAGATTTTTTTTTTTACTTTTGGGATGGTCGTCCCTGGGAGTCTTCTTGTGATAGGTCACAGATAGGCGAAGTAAGTAATGATTATATCTGGGGATGATATACTAATTAATCAATCAATCATGTACAAATTTTGAGGAAATTTTCGGGGTTGGTCACAAATGGACCAAGGATGTAAAGACAAGATTTTGGTGATGATCCACTGATTAATTAATTAATTAATTAATTAATTAATTATGTACATATTTTTCAAACGTTCAGAATAGCTCTCAACAGGGCCAAATAAGAAACTGTTAGGTTTTGGTGATAAATAATTGACCAAGTAATGATTGATTATAAGGTTATTAATTATGAGGTTATCCTCTCTGAGTGCTTTTCTAGTTTAAATGAGACCCAAAGACAAACTACTTTAAAACATTTAGAAATTATGTACATGTATTTTCAAGATGTTGCAATGGTTGTCAAATTTTACAGCAGATAAAATCACTTTTAAAATGGAAAGTGCCAAGAAAGAAATCTGTGAGAATGTCAAGATTCTATATAATGTTACTTTAATTTCAGGTCATTTTCTAGCTTAAATTTATTAACTTTGAGTCCAGTAAAAGATGGGTATTGTGGTCACAAATGGTCATTTTTATACACCACGTAACTACCCTCTGAATATGTCTTAATAAGCTTTCAACTCGATCAAACACTTGCATTTACCCAATTTAAAACAAACAAATATAAAGCAAATTGATGAATGAATGATAAGTTAATAAATACTCTACGAATTTATGTAAATCTTTAAGTTCTGCCTTAAATTAACACTTACTGGGGTAAACATTTATTATAAAGGGAATATTTCAAAAACACGTTTTTCATTTACCAAGAAGTAATGTAGCGAAAATCTTTCCTTGATTGAAAGAAGTTAGCGCACGTTTTCATTTCAGACCTCATACAACTGTATATATATAAACATATCTGAGTTTGGTAAAAGTTGATGTCTCATGTGGTTACAATGCCCCTTTTTCATCATTGTACTTTACGCAACTCATCGGTATTTTTAATTTGTTTCGATGCATTCATTTATTTTTCCATGAAATAATGTAATAAAATCTAAGACGATGTTTTAAATCGCTTTATATCGCTTTTTATCGTGGTCACACACTTGCATATACTAAACTAAAACAAACAAATAAGCAAACATAATGCAAATATACAGACTGCAATTCACGCCACAGGACACTGTCATAAATTGTCCACAAATGTGAGGTGATCATTTACTTACAAAAACACATGGGCTTAGAGGTGGGACAACCTTTCTGACAAAGTCTGTCTATTAAACTAGGAATCGATAGTGTTTGTTATAGGCAAATCACAGCACACAATTTAATACAATTTGCATTTAATTTACCCTTACTTAATACACAACATTCAAGCAACTACACAAAGTTTATTAAAGGCGATTTCTGACAAACGTTTTTGCCAAGAACAAATGCACAATAATCATTTCAAGAATAAACGAAGTATTTTAGTTTAGGTACCGTCTGTCACATGTCAGACTCGGATGATCTAACGTATTTATGCAGATACAGTTGTACATGTCCATAGTTAGAGGCAATTTTTTATTCCGTTCTAACGCCTAACAGCGCACGCGTTGTAGGGGTATGGCGTAAAAGTGAACGTGTTGAGGCCTTCCACTCCATCCGGAGGTTTCTCGCCCTCTGGTACCTTGAAGGTAAAATTCTGAAGCAACGTGGTGAAGAAAATGAACGCTTCCATTTCAGCAAGCCCCTTGCCCAGGCAAACACGGGGTCCTGAAATACATAAATGATTGAATATTGTATAAAATAAAATAACAATTAATTTAATTACAGTGGTGTTTAGTTCTTTAGTGTTCATCTTCTTTGTCTAGGTTGTGTTTGGTGTCCCCCATCAAATTCCAACTACGGACTTACTACAATAAGTTATTTGACAGAAGTTGGCAGACTGGAAGCCATGGTGTTCGTTATAGAGTCGGTTGAGGTATGATGTATATATAGACCCCATTCCCATAGATATTTAGATCGATCTATCCCCCTGGGGAGTCTCACTAGATTGGTGTCAGCTTAACGGGCTTAAATGTCTGTCCCGACTACTAAAAGCTGTAAGGGAGTATTAACTATGGTGCGCGCTCGGCTGACAGCAATTTGGCGTGAACCCCCACGGAGTTATGTCGATCCAGATGGATCGATCTAAATCTCTGGGAATGCAGTCATAGACAATATGTAAAAGACAGTTACATTGTATTTCAACAACATGTTGATGTATAAGCGCAATTTTCATTATCATCATATTATTATTTATGAACTTTATAAATTCTAATGGATTTAAGAATAGAACCAATTTTCTGCAGCATACCCATAGAAAACGGTATCAGTTTGTCCGACTTGACCACTTTACCGTCGCCATCCAGCCATCTTTCTGGTTTGAACTTGTAAGGATCTTCGAAGTTATTCTTATCGTGGAGAACCCGGTACAAATCTCCCACTATTACCGTTCCCTTGGGAATGGTGTATCCTGCCAAGTTGGTTGTTTCACTGGTGGCATGGGGCGCACCCAGCGGAGCTGTTGACATGGAGGAAAACAGCTATCATATATCAAGCTGGGATAATTGACAGATGGGCAGTGGGGGGAGGGGGGTTGGCAGCGTGAGAGGGATATATATTAATTATATCAATTTCCATTGTCCTGAGTGTTCTTAAAACGAGTGTATGCATACTAAAGTACGTATATCATGTGACTGGAAAACCACTATCAAAAACGTGACAGGAAATAGGACAAACTCGCGTCCTCTTTGTTGAATTTCCATTTTAAATCATATATATATATATATATATATATATATATATATATATATATCCTAAGATCTAATAAACCAACTGGTATATTTGATCTTAGATATACTTGGCTGTTGTTATTTGAAATGAATCATTTGTTGGTAGTTATTTCCGAACTGTAAGGTTATAATACGATTTTTAACTAAAATTAAGACTAAAATTTACTGACCAACGGTGGACAAACGAAAGACCTCCAGTACGGTTGCTTCCGTGAATGGCATCCTGGCCTTGTCCTCCATCTTGGCAACACGACCTTGACCTATTACATTAAGTTAAACACATTAAATCTTATCGATCTCTAAATAAATATTATTTTTTATAAAAAAAAAACTCATTCATTTTGGAACACGTTATTTTTACAAGCATAAAACCGTTGCAACACAATAAAAATACATGTAAAAAGCCAACTTCTAAACTAGTAATATACCCGTCTCATGTGCTCAGTTTTATGACGTTACCTGATCAATTTCCTGTTGCACCCTCTTCTGAGCATCCGGATGATTTACCATATGAACCAGGGACCATCTCAAAGTATTAGCTGTTGTGTCAGTTCCAGCCAAATAGAGATCAACGATGATGCGGAATACGTTCCATTCTGAAATGTAAGCCCATTGCATGACTGAAAGTGTTTCATATTCATTTTTACAACTACCTCGGTGAAACCACATTCTTGCCTGTTTGCACGTTTGTACATGTACCGGTATATCGGCAGCCCATCAGTACAAGTTTACACGATATATAGATTAGTTAGCATTCGATACTGCTGGTCTAAATGTTTCAAAGACAAATAATAATCCCGTATTCACATTTCATCAATGCAAGGTTAAATATTTATGTGAACGGGTCCTTTAAGAGTAATATACATATGCTGTACCTGTGTAGACCTCGGGATCTTCCTCCTCTTGTGTGACCTTAATGAAGAGGTCAATGAAGTCCCGGATGTCAGTTGGATCAAAGGACTGGCGGTGTTTTTCGACTTCTTGTCGTATCAAACTATATAGCTTGTCCACAAGGGCGATCATCTTCTTCATCTGAAAAAAGTTAAAAACTGATACTTTATGGCATACCACCGGGAAAACGCACACGTGCATCTGACACTTTTTATCTGTATATTGCTAAAATTGCGAGTGGAATAATTTGATCATTTAGTAAGTACTAGTAAACTGATAATTATAAAATATAACACGACGAACAAATAGAAAATACAGTATTTGGAAATAGATACTACGAAAAAGCCGTTGGAGAATGTACAAATGTAGGCAGTCTGAAAAAAAAAAGAAACGGGTGATCTAATAATGGTAATAAAATTTAAAAGAAATTACCGGCATTATGAACCGTGCCAAGTTGGTAAGGAAGAGTGGCCCTTCGCCAAGTCGCAGTACCTCCTCTAGAACTGGCAGCATTTCTGGGGTGTCATGATAGTCATATCTGAAAGTCATTTGAAAATAAAATAAAAATGCTACATTTTTACTAAAATGCTTAATGGTGCTTAATAAGATATCCGTACGCGGTATTTTGGAAAAATCTATTTCATGAATGCAATGGCTAACAGCGACTAAATGTAAATTCGTCGAATTTTTTACGAGTAGCCCCTTAATTCCCATCAATTAATTTCATGACATGTACAAAAAGTTATGGGTACAGTGGTTTACGATTACCTTGTTCCAAATACAACGATAGACATAATATTGCTGACAGCTTTTCCGATCCTGTCCCTGGGAGAGAAAGCCTTTCCATTTTCATTTTCAATGTTTTGCATCAAGTACCTTGCCTCATCCTGAATTCTCTCTTGTAAACTTTTTCTCCCCAGGCCGAGATCTCGAAGAGACGAGAGCGTGAATCTCCTTAGTTCCTTCCATGCGTGCCCGGTTTTAAAAATAACTCCAGCTCCTGCAGTTTAATTATTGTGTTAAAAGACGAATAGTTATATACCTCCTACAGTAAGTTTCTAAATATCTTTACTTCCAAATACATGTACAAAAGTCTTTACTACATGAATGTACGTCTTTTCTTTAAAGACCCGCCTAAAATACCATAACTGTGTCTTTTCCCCTGCCTTCAACTTATCCCAGCGCTAAAGCGGTTACCTCTAATGCTTTCTAACAGTAATGGCGTACACAAAGATAGCAAAATAATTAGCAAAATTATTGAAGCCTCTAGTCGGAAAAACAAAATACCATATACAGAACTCACACCACCTCGTTAAGCTGCTGAAAGGTATAACGATGACACACTTGTATCCTTTGATGTTTCCGCTTTGTTCACCAGCGTCCCGTGTGATGAAGTAGTAGGAATGTGTGTGAACAGATGCCAAAAAGACAACACCTGGGCAAGTAGAACAGCAGTAACACCTGAAGACATGGGCGAACTACTAGCTATGACCTTAGACACCACCTAAAACAAGGGGAAAAAAGAGGCAAGAACAGACATGACAAAGGAAAGGATGCAATGGGCCCCACTGGGGATGAAAAGCAAAGCATAGTATTACCATATTGCAAAGGTCTGTCAGAAAAACTTACTCGGATTTACAAGAAATATAACATCAAACTCCACCATAAGCCAGGTTGGACGCCGACACAAGCACTAGTAAAACCCAAGGATCCTCTAACCCAAGGAGAGCAATGTGGTGTGATTTACTCGGTCAAATGTGGAACCTGCCAAGGAGAATACATTGGCGAGACAGGAAGACCATTAGCCACAAGAATGAAAGAACACAAAGACTCAGTGGCCAAAAACAACTGGAAATCAGCCCTTGGAGAACATACCTTCAAACATCCAGGTCACCACATTGATTTTGACAGCCTGAAAGTAATAGACAGGGAAAACTGGACATTCCAAAGAAAAATAGCAGAAGCTGTACACATCAAGACCAAACAACCAGACCTGAACAGACAGGGGAGGTATGATTTACCAGCTATCTACCTCACGGTGCTTCAGAGGGATGCAGAGGAGCCCCGGAGGGAAGATGTAACAGTTACAACACAAGGCCAGTGATTAGGGGCACTTGACCTGGATTTTCATTCCAGGTGAAATGACCCTAGTCATTTACTCCCTGATGATGGTGACTGACAGTCACAGAAATATTGGAGGTAAAACCTACATATTTTATAAGCTCTTGATAAAAAAGAAAAACAATAATTTAAACAAAAATGGTACAATCAAAGTTCAGTTCATTGTAAAAAGCAGGTCAAAGGTCAATTTCAAGGTCACACTTAGATTGCCAGTATATGACTTCCTATTCAAGTTCAATAGTAACTATGGACCTATCTCTGCCAGTTTTGGAGATAAAAGGGAACGAAAATTTGCAAAGTTCAGTTCATGGTGAAAAGTAGGTCAAAGGTCAATTTCAAGGTCACAGTAAATTGCCTCTTATGACTTTCCATTCAAATTCAATAGTAACTATGGGCGTATCTTTGCCAGTTTTGAAGATAAAAGGGAACGAAAATTTGCAAAGTTCAGTTCATGGTAAAAAGTAGGTCAAAGGTCAATTTTGAGGTCACAGTAAATTGCCTCTTATGACTTTCCATTCAAATTCAATAGTAACTATGGGCGTATCTTTGCCAATTTTGGAGAAAAAAAGGGAAGCAAAATTTGCAAAATTCAATTCATGATGAAAAGTAGGTCAAAGGTCAATTTTGAGGTCACAGTAAATTGCCAGTATATCACTTCCTATTCAAGTTCAATAGTAACTATGGGCGTATCTTTGCCAGTTTTGGAGATAAAAGGGAATGAAAATTTGCAAAGTTCAATTCATGATGAAAAGTAAGTCAAAGGTCAATTTCAAGGTCACATTTTGATTGCCAGTATATGACTTCAATAGTAACTATGGACCTATCTCTGCCAGTTTTGGAGATATAAGGGACTTAATGTTACAATTTTGGAGTTACAATTATGTGCCATAAATTTCCTACAGAAAAAAATAATTAAAATAAAGAAAAGGTCATTTTGGTTAAAATTCTTGAAATTAGAGGTGCTCAGAAGTTCCAGATGTTCAAATTTCATGAAATAATGTCATTTTTGACCAGAAATTGTCTGCCTCGCCAAGCCTTATGTTTTATTTCCTGGGGTTCAAAATTTATTATACATTACCGTACTGCACATTTTGCTTTCACCACAACAATGTACTTTTTGATACAGCATAACTCGAAAACCGTATGGAATACAAAAAAACGGAGGCCACTTTCAGTGTTGGGCTTTACATGCTCTACAAAATGCAAAAAGAGAATGGGTCTCTAGCATTAACAGTTCCCGAATTAGAGACAGTTTTCAGTTTCGGTATCTTATGGCCGCTACTCCTGTCAAAATGCACCGATTGACCCCAAATTCACGGAGATGAAAGATGACCCGAAGGGTAACACTTTCCAATAATATTATTGGTTAAGTCTGTGTAGTTTCTGAATATCACTGCAAATATATTTTTTTTCGTAAAAAAATTCTTTTTTTTTTTTTTTTTGAAAATTTTGGCCCATTTGACCTTGAAATAAAGGTCAAAGGTCAAATCCAAGGGCATATTTGAAATCTCCACATATGACTTTCGGTCAGCCGTCTGTAGAAATTTTATCCATAATTCCTTCCGTAGGGTAGATAATTAGCATTTTAATTTTGCCATTTTGGACAAGGGTGCATTGCAATGAGTGCCACACCTAGACCCCAGCACCGACGAAGCCCAAATTTTACGTGGAACGAGTTGAGATTATAGGTGACCTGAATCCAAGAGATGGGTACGCAGGCCCTTAAAGTCTAGGAGGAGAAGCGGTAACGATGACATGGCGGCGGAGCCGGCGGGTCGGGACTAAAACCATGTGTACCGCCAGCGCCTACGCTGATGGTACAATTAAAAAACTCGAAATTACCGTCTTTTCCAACTATTTCCCTTATGAAATATATCCAAGTAGGCCTAGAGCTGACAGTATCTGCGTTCTTCACGAAGGCCTCCTGAATCAGCTCATAAGTCCCCAGCATTATCATGTGCTGTTCACCAAATTTAACGTGCATGATATCTCCGTATGTATCATACCATGGAAGAAGATCCGTTGGTTGTCTTCTCCTACTGCTGATCATCATCTGTGGGAGACATCCCACCACGGGGAAACAGACAGGTCCGGGCGGCCAGTTCACCCGAGGATTCCTCGACGACAGCATCCACAGACTTAACAACAACACTGCTACGAATATCAAAACAGTCTGCTGAGCAGCAGTTGAGAAAAACTCCATAATACCCCGTACGGCGTTAGCCATTTTGAGCTTAGTTTGCTGATGACGCAAGATATCGAGTTACAATTTCTTACCAGCGCAATGTGAGAATCAGAATGACGGTAGTGATATATATATATATATAGCGGTATAAGCCCTGAAAGTCAACACGGCTCAAGGTCAATTCATCCACCATTTAACCCGATAGTAGCGCCAGCGTGTGCACGTGCACATATTTTTATGATCATAGCAAACCTCAAAGGGGTTGCACTGAAAGTCTAAACAAAACAGTTTGTGTACAGGGTCGGTGCCCCCCCCCCCCCCCCCCCCCCCCCACACACACACACACACACACACACACACACACCAGTCTCCCCTTCTTTGCAATTACATATACCATAGTTGTGCTGAGTCGTTGAGTCATTTCGCGGTACCTTAACCCCATCTCAGTCCCTTATCATGGTAGGGTAGCGAGGAAAATGAGCAAATAAGCGGAGAGATCCCAGGCGACTGCTCCTCACCCGTACAACCCATCTTGCTTGGCTTAAGAGAGAAGGGGACTCTTCCCCACCCATATAGCACACCTTGCTTTGTGTGGTAGGTACGGCATAATTAAAGGGAATAATAGTGGCAAAGTTTTTCAGGCCTTCACTACTGTCAGTGGGAGAAAACACGTATATAAACATTCAACCAGAAACCTAGCTGTGTCATGTCTGTCTGCAGTTAAAAGTCAAAGACTGGGTCGATGTATTAAAAGGTACTGTAGCACTCAAACGTGTGAGGAAAATTACCCATACAAGGACGTCCAAACGTAAAGGGTGCGTTCGGTCTTCGTTGTATACATCCTTCCATACGCGGGGGAGATGAAATGTTTTGATAAGCTTCAAAAACAAACTCATGCGCTGTTTATAGCTATACGTTTATTCTCATACGCTGAAAAAAGCGTATATCAGTTTTACATACGATACTCATACGTATGTACACTGTATACCTCTGTACACTAGTTGGCATGAGCACTATTACTTGTAACGTGTACAGTTCTTGGAGCAATCAAACTTTCCCCGCCTTATTAGAAGAATAATCTTTTCAGGCTTATTGCAGAAAAGGATCTTCATCTGCCTCAATGCACGTAACTACGGTTTTCAAAGCACCAATCTATCAATTTATACTTTAAACACTCAAACAACTGCACGACGTTCTTTAAAGCGATACATTAAAAACGTTTTTGGCCACGAGGAAAAGCACGGAAACCATTTCGAGACTAAGCGAAGTATTTTAGTTTAGATACCGTCAGTCTGACAGTCACGTGTCAGACTCGGATTATCTGATGTATTTATACAGATAATGTTGTCCATATACAAGTAGTAACCGGTACATTCATAGTAAGGGACAGTGTATCTCCGTTCTAGCGTCTAACAGCGCACACGTTGTAGGGGTATGGCGTGAAAGTGAACGTGTTGAGGCCTTCCACTCCATCGGGTGGTTTTTCGCCTTCTGTTACCTTGAAGGTAAAATTCTGAAGCAACGTCGTGAAGAAAATGAACGATTCCATTTCCGCCAGTCCCTTGCCCAGGCAAATACGGGGTCCTGAAATAAATAAATAAATAAATGAATAAATAAAGCAGGAGCATTTAAAATGAATTGAAAAATAAAAATGAAATAAATAATATAGATCTTTAGTACTTTTATGTAAATCCATCCTTGGTTTACTTAGTCCGAATATGGCCTGATCTGAATCGAACTAAGGACCTTCTACTACAGTGAGTTTAATTTTGTCATTTTAATAGCTGTGGTTTGCGTAATAGAGTCGGTTGAGGTATGATGTTTACATTCACAATATATATAAGACATTTATTTTAACAACATGTTGATGCATAAGTGCAATTATAATCATAATTATTACTATTATTATTATTTGTCTTTTTAACTTATGAAATATAATGGATTAAAGAATAGAACACATGTACTGTAGCATACCCATAGAAAATGGTATCAGTTTGTCCGACTTGACCACTTTACCGTCGACATCCAGCCATCTTTCTGGTTTGAACTTGTAAGCATCTTCGAAGTTATTCTCATCGTGGAGAACCCGGTACAAATCTCCCAGTATCACCGTTCCCTTGGGAATGGTGTATCCTGCCAAGTTGGTTGTTTCACTGGTGGCATGGGGCACTCCAAGAGGGACTGATGACATGGAAGAGAAAAAAGAATAAAAATATATATTAGATTAAATGATTTATTTGAATATAGGGATGTTAGTAAAGAAAGTGAAGGAAAAAAGAGTGTTCTTAAAACGAGAGTCTGCATACATGTGCTGAAGTATGTACATGTATATCATGTGACTGGAAAACCACTATCAAAAACGTGACAGGAAATAGGACAAATTCGCGTCCTCTTTGTTGAATTTCCATTTTAAATCATATAAATATATATATATATATATATATATATATATATATATATATATATATATATATATAATAAAAAGAAAAAAAGAACAGCAACTTTTTTTGCCCCGACCGGTTTCTTTCTTTCTTCAGGGGGTATAAGTGTGGTATATCAGGGGGTATATCAGATTAAAACTCAACCTGGAAAAAAAAATTTCAATAAAGAACAATGGAAAACTCTAAATATACTCAGAAATGACAATGACATAATCATCAAAGAAGCAGACAAAGGCAGTGCTGTAGTGATTATGGATACCGACACTTATACCCCCAGAAGAAAGAAAGAAACCGGTCGGGGCAAAAAAAGTTGCTGTTCTTTTTTTCTTTTTATTATATATAATATTACTCGTACAGGAAAAACGTTTTTACTTTTAATATATATATCCTAAGATCTAATAAACCAACTGGTATATTTGATCTTAGATAGGCCTTTACCTGGCTGTTGTTGTTTGAAATAAATCATTTGTTGGTAGTTAATTTCCGATCTGTAAGGATATAATAGTAATACGATTTTTAACTAAAATTAAGACTAAAATTTACTGACCAACGGTGGACAAACGAAAGACCTCCAGTACGGTTGCTTCCGTGAATGGCATCCTGGCCTTGTCCTCCATCTTGGCAACACGACCTTGACCTATGACCTTAAGTTAAACACATTAAATCTTATCGATCACTTAATTAATACTTTTTAAATAAAAAAACACGTTCATTTTGGAACAAGCATAAAACCGTTGCAGCACATTCAAAATACATGTAAAAAGCCAACTTCTAAACTATTAATATACCAGTCTCACGTGCTCAGTTTTATGACGTTACCTGATCAATTTCCTGTTGCACCCTCTTCTGAGCGTCCGGATGATTTACCATATGAACCAGGGACCATCTCAAAGTATTAGCTGTTGTGTCGGTGCCAGCCAAATAGAGATCAACGATGATGCGAAATACGTTCCATTCTGAAATTTAAGCCCATTGCATGACTGAAAATGTTTCATATATATTTTACAGCTACCTCGGTAAAACCACATACTGGCTGTTTGCACGTTTGTACATGTACCGGTATATATATGGATAGCCCATTATTGAACAGTACAAGTTACACGATCTATAGATTAGTTAGCATTCGATACTTGCTGGACTAAATGTTTCAAAGACAAATAATAATCCCGTATTCACATTTCATCAATGCAAAGTTAGATTTTTACGTGAACAGATCCTTTTAGAGTAATATACATATACTATACCTGTGTAGACCTCGGGATCTTCCTCCTCCTGGGTAACCTTTATGAAGAGGTCAATGAAGTCCCGGATGTCTTTTGGATCAAAGGACTGGCGGTGTTTTTCGACTTCTTGTCGTATCAAACTATATAGCTTGTCCACAAGGGACATAATCTTCTTCATCTGAAAAAAAGTTATTAAAACTTATACTTTATTACATACTACCCGGAATACGCACACGAGCATCTGACACTTATTATCTGCAAATTGCTCAAATTGCGAATGGAATAATTTGATCATTTAGTAAGTACTAGTAGATTGATAATTATAAAATATAACACGATGAACAAATAGAAAATATTTGGAAATAAATACTATGAAAAAAGCCGTTGGAGAATGTACAAATGTAGGCAGGCTGAAAAAAAGAAACGGATGATAGAATAATGGTAATAAAATTTAAAAGAAATTACCGGCATGATGAACCGTGCCAAGTTGGTAAGGGAGAGTGGCCCTTCGCCAAGTCGCAGTGCCTCCTCTAAAACTGGCAGCATTTCTGGGGTGTCATTATAGTCATATCTGAAAGTCATTTGAAAATAAAATAAAAATACTACATTTTTACTAAAATGCTTTTAAAATGATGCTAAATAAGATATCCGTACGCGGTATTTTGGAAAAATCTATTTCATGAATACGATGGCTGACAGCGACTATATGTAAATTCGTCGCATTTTTACGAGTAGACCCTTGATTCCCATTAAATAAATCTATGACATGTACAAAAAAGGTATGGGTACAGAGGTCTTCGATTACCTTGTTCCAAATACAACGATAGAAATAATGTTGCTGACAGCTTTTCCGATCCTGTCCCTGGGAGAGAAAGCCTTTCCATTTTCATCTTCAATGTTTTGTACCAAGTATCGAGCCTCATCCTGAATTCTTTCTTGTAAACTTTTTCTTCCGAGGCCGAGATCTCGAAGAGACGAGAGCGTGAATCTCCTCAGTTCCTTCCATGCGTGCCCGGTTTTTAAAATGACTCCAGCTCCTGCAGTTTAATTATTGTGTTAAAAGACGTATAGTTATATACCTCCTATAGTAAGTTTCTAAATATCCTTTAACCTTCCACATGTACAGAAGTCTTTACTAAGCCTTCATGTATGTACATCTTTTCATAACTGTCTTTTCCACTGCCTTCAACTTATCCCATCGCTACAGAGGTTACTTCTAATGCTTTCTAAAAGTAATAGCGTACACAAAGATACCAGAGGCTCAGAGAGAGAAAGAGAGAAAGAGAGAGAAAGAGTACTACATACATGTAGTCCATGTTTAAAGCTACTCTTACAACCGGTCATGCGTGCTTCTACGAGCGGTTTGCGTGCAAAAAAAGGCCAAGTAATAAGATACACGCACGTGGAACGTACTTTTTTTGGTGGACGCAAACACGCTCGGCTGTCACCTTGATTGGATAGTAAACGGTTGTCGTAAAATCGCTAAATGATATTAAAACCCTGTGCATAAAGTTGAAAACCACCTNCAGGCAATGAAGCTGATTCCATAGACTGCACTTCAGATTCCTTGCAGAGTTGGACCGACCCAGCTAGTACTTTGTGTGAATCTGATGGCGGTCTTAATAAATTGTCCACCACAGGGAAAGTTTGACCAATATAACCGTACCTAGCCGAGACAACCCTGTCCCCATTCCAATTCTACCTCTATAGAACTTCACACTATAGCTATTTATTGACTAAGAAAAAATTCTGGTTGCAAAATGCGTTCCGGTTGAAAAATTCGTTTTCACGATTTCCTTTGGTTGCAAAATGCGTTGCAGTTGCAAAATGCGGCTCTACTCCAGTTTTATGAATCCCCAGCATTTCATTCTCCCCAACAACTATCTGGACAGTTGACCGTTTCAAATAATTCAGATTTCAGACTTTCCGACCTTAAGCGTTTTCATTAAGTATATAGGCCAGGAGGTCAATCTTTTTAAACGATCGAGGTATATTCGAAACATTTATGTTGCATATCAATAGAAAAGCCTATTTTGAATGCTTGTTATTGCAAGTCATAACATTTATGTCATAGTTACAAAATAGATACTTCTATAACACGAATAATGGAATAGACGGTTTGTTAAAGATATTAATGTGCACCTAGTGTGGAGCAAAATTAAAAACTCTCTGCCTAGTAGAGTTCTCTACCTACAGTGGAAAGACATACATTCTTGCTGCTGTGTACTAGCCACATCTATAAACCTGCGCCATCAATCAAATCACAAATGGTCAGTTTTATGCCCTAGTTTAAAGGCAGGGAATGTGTTTATTTATACTCTTCATTTGTCTTATACATCTAGTGCCTTAGACCCGCCATGATTCAACGTCCAAATATTGTCAGTTTTGAATCGTCCTGAAATCTGAAAAATCTCAAAACCAAATGGGTAAAACAAAAAACTAGCTTTATGCTTTCCGTCACTGGACCGGAACTCTTGAAATAAAGTACATTAATTATAGAAGTTAATCTCACGGGTATCTACTAGAACATTTGAAAATAACAGCTTCATTAAACTCCAACGAAATAAAATACGCACCATCATGTGAGTGAGTAATGTTACTCCCCCCCCCACACACACTCACACACACACACACACACACACACACACACACATTGCAAATACACGCGTCACTCTCGAAATCATGGTCTAGAATGAAACATCATATCGACCTTTACGCCTAATTTTCACATCCAACCAGAACTGAAACATGTTTGGATACAATGTACCATGAAGTGGTAATATACTACGAAGTCTCCTAAGGGTCCTTATTTTTTAACCAATGAAGTCACTTTCTATCACGAAGTAGTAATTCTTATCCTATGAAGTGGTAATATACTATGTGACTGGAAAACCACTATCAAAAACGTGACAGGAAATAGGACAAACTCGCGTCCTCTTTGTTGAATTTCCATTTTAAATCATATATATATATATATATATATATATATATATATAAAGCATTGGTCAAAAAGGTTGTCCCACCCCCATTTCCATGTACTTTTATTTACAAATGATCATCTAACAGCTGTTAATTGTTAGAAATAGTGCTTTTTATTACGTATACCGTGTCTAACATGATTAATGGTTTAAAAAATACAAAATAGTGGTGAAAATATACATATTTTATACCATTTAGTAAAATTTATAAGAGGTACCCCCTCAAATCGACTGTTTCACTGTGACTTCTAAAGATGTAAAGAAATGTCTATAAAATTGAAAAGACGCCATCAAATGTCACCAAATTCGCACACAATTAGCATTAGGGTGTGCTCATTAAAGATCACGTGCCTAACAGCGTGTGCGTCTACCGCGTACTGCAATTATTTCCTGTAGACGGCGCGACAAGCCTTCAACACGGGTTACAATTCTGTTTTGTAGGATATTGTCCCATTCATCCCATTCATATATATATATATCCTAAGATCTAATAAACCAACTGGTATATTTGATCTTAAATATACCTGGCTGTTGTTATTTGAAATGAATCATTTGTTGGTAGTTATTTCCGAACTGTAAGGTTATAATACGATTTTTAACTAAAATTGAGACTAAAATTTACTGACCAACGGTGGACAAACGAAAGACCTCCAGTATGGTTGCTTCCGTGAATGGCATCCTGGCCTTGTCTTCCATCTTGGCAACACGACCTTGACCTATGACCTTAAGTTAAACACATTAAATCTTATCGATCACTTAATTAAAATTTTTTAAATAAAAAAAGCACGTTCATTTTGGAACACGTTTTTTTTCACAAGCATCAAACCGTTGCAGCACAATCGAAATACATGTAAAAAGCCAACTTCTAAACTATTAATATACCAGTCTCACGTGCTCAGTTTTATGACGTTACCTGATCAATTTCCCGTTGCACCCTCTTCTGAGCGTCCGGATGATTTACCATATGAACCAGGGACCATCTCAAAGTATTAGCTGTTGTGTCGGTGCCAGCCAAATAGAGATCAACGATGATGCGAAATACGTTCCATTCTGAAATTTAAGCCCACTGCATGACTTAAAGTGTTTCATATATATTTTACAGCTACCTCGGTAAAACCACATACTGGCTGTTTGCACGTTTGTACATGTACCGGTATATATATGGATAGCCCATCATTGATCAGTACAAGTTTACACGATCTATAGATTAGTTAGCACTCGATACTTGCTGGGTTAAATTTTTCAAACACAAATAATAATCCCGTATTCACATTTCATCAATGCAAGGTTAGATTTTTACGTGAACAGGTCCTTTAAGAGTAATATACATACTAGTATACTGTACCTGTGTAGACCTCGGGATCTTCCTCCTCTTGTGTGACCTTTATGAAGAGGTCAATGAAGTCCCGGATGTCAGTTGGATCAAAGGACTGGCGGTGTTTTTCGACTTCTTGTCGTATCAAACTATATAGCTTGTCCACAAGGGCGATCATCTTCTTCATCTGAAAAAAAGTTATTAAAACTTATACTTTATGGCATACCACCGGGAAAACGCACACGTGCATCTGAGACTTTTTACCTGCATATTGCTCAAATTGCGAGTGGAATAATTTGATCATTTAGTAAGTACTAGTAAACTGATAATTATAAAATATAACACGAGGAACAGATGGAAAATACAGTATTTGGAAATAGATACTATGAAAAAGCTCTTGGAGAATGTACAAATGTAAAAGGCTTAAAAAAGAAACGGGTGATCTTATAATGGTAATAGAATTTAAAAGAAATTACCGGCATTATGAACCGTGCCAAGTTGGTAAGTAAGACTGGCCCTTCGCCAAGTCGCAGTACCTCCTCTAGAACTGGCAGCATTTCTGGGGTGTCATTATAGTCATATCTGAAAGTCATTTGAAAATAAAATAAAACTGCTACATTTTTACTAAAATGCTTAATGATGCTTAATAAGATATCCGTACGCGGTATTTTGGAAAAATCAATTTCATGAATACGATGGCTAACAGCGACTAAATGTAAATTCGTCGAATTTTTACGAGTAGTCTCTTAATTCCCATCAATTAATTTTATGACAAGTACAAAAAAGTTATGGGTAGAGTGGTCTATAATTACCTTGTTCCAAATACAACGATAGAAATGATGTTGCTGACAGCTTTTCCAATCCTTTCTCTGGGAGAGAAAGCCTTTCCATTTTCATTTTCAATGTTTTGCACCAAATATCTTGCCTCATCCTGAATTCTTTCTTGTAAACTTTTTCTTCCGAGGCCGAGATCTCGAAGAGACGAGAGCGTGAATCTCCTCAGTTCCTTCCATGCCTTCCCGGATTTAAATAAAACTCCAGCTCCTGCAGTTTAAGCATTGTGTTAAAAGACGAAAAGTTATATACCTCCTACAGAAAGTTTCTAAATATCTTTACTTCCAAATACATGTACAAATGTCTTTACTACATGTATGTACGTTTTTTCTTTAAAGATCCGCCTAAAATACCTGTGCCTTTTCTCCTGCCTTCAACTTATCCCAGCGCTACAGCCAATAGGGGTTACTTCTAATGCTTTCTACATGTACTCAGTAACAGTAATGGCGTACACAAAGATACTAGAAGGCCCAGAGAGAGAGAGAGAGAGAGAGAGAGAGATGACGGATCGTGTGTAAATACATGCACTAGTACTACACAGTTCATGTTTAAGATAATTAAAGGCCCTTTTTACGAACCACCCTGAACCTCATCAAGCAGCGGAGATTTATCAGATAATCTAAACAGTGAAAAACTAAGTCGGTTGTCTTTGTGGCAGACCCAAGTTTACATAACCTACATACGTGTATATGAGACATAAGGTCATGGGTTAACTTTCCAAACAACAAATAGCATTTGAATTCGATACGAATGGTGAGTTCAGGAGGATCAAATTTCAATTTCTTTTTGGGTCTTTTTCCCTCACACACGCGCGCACGCACAAACACACACGATTTCCACAATCCTGGATATAGCAATGTGCGACCATATACCGGGGGTAGAGGTACGTGAATTTGCATATACGATAATTGCATTCATTTATTTAAAAACTCGTAATTACCGTCTTTTCCAACTATTTGTCTTAAGAAATAGATCCAAGTAGGTCTGGCGCTGACAGTATCTGCGTTCTTCACGAAAGCCTCTTGGATCAGCTCATAAGTCCCCAGCATTATCATGTGCTGTTCACCAAATTTAACGTGCATGATGTCTCCGTATGTATCATACCATGGAAGAAGATCCGTAGGTTGTCGTCTCCTACCGCTGATCATCATTTGTGGGAGACATCCCACCACGGGGAAACAGACAGGTCCGGGCGGCCATTTCACCCGAGGATTCCTCAACGACAGCATCCACAGACTTAACAACAACACTGCTACGAATATCAAAACAGTCGGCTGAGCAGCAGTTGAGAAAAACTCCATAACACCATGTACGGCGTTGGCCATATTGAGCTTAGCGTGTTGATGACGCAAAATATTTGAAAGTTACAATTTCTATACCAGCACAAAGTGAGAAACAGTATGACGGTAACAATACATATAGCGGCCTAACCCCTGAAAGTCAACACGGCTCAAGGCCAATTCATGCTCCATTTAACCCGCTAGTAGCGCCAGCGTGTGCACGTGCACATATTTTTATGATCATAGCAAACCTCAAAGGGGTTGCACTGAAAGTCTAAACAAAACAGTTTGTGTACAGGGTCGGAGCCCCCCCCCCCCCCCCCCCCACCAGTCTCCCCTTCTTTGCAATTACATATACCATAGTCGTTGAGTCATTTCGCGGTACCTTGACCCCCATCTCAGTCCCTTATCATGGTAAGGTAGCGAGGAAAATGAGCAAATATGCGGAGAGAGTGCAGGCGACTGCTCCTCACCCGTACAACCCATCTTGATTGCCTTAAGAGAGAGGGGGACTCTTCCCCACCCATACAGCACACCTTGCTTTGTGTGGTAGGTACGGCATAATTGAAAGGAATAATAGGGGCAAAGTTTTTCGGGCCTTCACTACTGTCACTGAGAGAACACACGTATATAAACATTTAACCAGAAACCTAGTTGTGTCAAGTCTGTCTGCAGTTTCCTTCTGTAACGAACACCCTGAAACTCTTCAACACTTATTTATTGAGTGCAAAGTAATTGCTCCCCTTTGGGCAAAAATACAAGACTGGATCCATTTAAAGACTGGACTTGTATTACAATTAACAGCATCTGATATAATTCTAGGAATTCCAAATTTGAAATGCAATGCCCTCAACAGTTTGGTGATCATAACAAAATTTATTTTATATAAATTTAAAATGAAAAACATTACCCCGAACATAGAAAATATTAAAATAGAATGGAGACAGGCCTACATCGCAGAGGGAAATATAAGTCTGAGAAACATGACAATAGATAAATTTAATGAAAAATGGAAAAAGCTGCAGCCTCTCTTCCTGGACTGATATCTTCTACCTGCGTATGTTCCCCTGCCGATATTTGATAGTAAAACACATATTTGTTTTTATCTGTATCAGATCATATTATTTATTAAGCATTATTAAGTATTTTACTATTAGGTTATCAATATATCGTTGTTGACATATATATTAAATGATACAGTACCTCTCTCTCTCTCTCTCTCTCTCTCTCTCTCTCTCTCTATATATATATATATATATATATATATATATATATATATTGCAAATGACTGAGTGTCTCTTTGTGAGTGAGTGAGAGAGTGAGTGTGATTTTTATTTAGTTATTTATCAATTTTGTATTTTTTGTTGAGATCTGTACTTATTTGAGATATGCAATAAAAAAAATCTGTCTGCAGTTAAAAGTCAAAAACTGGGTCGATGTATTAAAAGTTACTGTCGCACTCAAACGTGTGAGGAAAATTACCCAACGCAAAGGGTACGTTCGGCCTTCGTTGTATACATCTTTTCATACGCGGGGGAGATGAAATGTTTTGATAAGCTTCAAAAACAAACTCATGCGCTGTTTATAGCTATACGTTTATTCTCAAAAGCTGAAAAAAGCATATAATCGGTTTTACGTACGATACTCATACGTATATACACTGTATACCTCTGTACACTGTATACCTCTGTAGTTGGCATGAACACTATTACTTGTGACGTGTACAGTTCTTGGAGCAATCAATCTTTCCCCGCCTCATTAGAAGAATAATCCTTTCAGGCACATTGCAGAAAAGGATCTTCATCCGCCCCAGTGCACGTATCTACGGTTTTCAAAGTACGATTCTATTGATCAATATATACTTAAACAACTGCACGACGTTCTTTATAGCGATACATTAAAAACGTTATTGCCAAGAGGAAAAGCACGAAAACCATTTCGAGACTAAACGAAGTATTTTAGTTTAGATACAGTCAGTCTGACAGTCACGTGTCAGACTCGGATTATCTGATGTATTTATACAGATACTGTTGTCCATGTACAAGTAGTAACCGGTACATTCATAGTAAGGTACAGTGTATCTCCGTTCTAGCGTCTAACAGCGCACACGTTGTAGGGGTATGGCGTAAAAGTGAACGTGTTGAGGCCTTTCACTCCGTCCGGAGGTTTCTCGCCCTCTGGTACCTTGAAGGTAAAATTCTGAAACAACGTGGTGAAGAAAATGAACGCTTCCATTTCAGCAAGCCCCTTGCCCAGGCAAACACGGGGTCCTGCAATAGATAAATAAATAAATAAATGAATGAATAAAGCAGGAGCATTTAAAATTAATTGAAAAATAAAAATGAAATAAATAAAATAGATCTTTAGTACTTTTATGTAAATCCATCCTTGGTTTAGGACTTAGTCCGAATACGACCTGATCTGAATCGAACTAAGGACCACCTACTACAGTGAGTTTAATAATGTCATTTTAAAAGCTGTGGTTTGCGTAATACAGTCGGTTGAGGTATGATGTTTATATTCACAATATATATAATACGGTTATTTTAACAACAAGTTGCTGCATAAGTGCAATTATAATCATAATTATTACTATTATTATCATTTGTCTTTTTAACTTATGAGGTATAATGGATTTAAGAATAGAACACATGTACTGTAGCATACCCATAGAAAATGGTATCAGTTTGTCCGACTTGATCACTTTACCATCGCCATCCAGCCATCTTTCTGGTTTGAATTTGTAAGGATCCTCGAAGTTATTCTTATCGTGAAGTACCCGGTACAAATCTCCCAGTATCATGGTCCCCTTGGGAATGGTGTATCCGGCCAAGTTGGTAGTTTCACTGGTGGCATGGGGAACTCCAAAAGGGGCTGATGGCATTAAATAATAGTTTGTGTTCATATATTTTGCAGGTGTGCGAGGTGCATTGGGTTTGTATATTTGGCTAAAGATCCCTGTAATCACCTATCATTTCCTGTTCAAAGTCGGTGAGAAAAAACTATCCATAAACTTTTCAGTGAGCTCCAAATTTGCAAAATGTAAAGTCACGAGTGAGGGTCAGCAATTTTTCCCTTATTGTACTAGGGAGACGAAAAAAACTTGTTACTAAGAATTGAATTTCAAGAATAAAATGCAAATAAACTACTAACCAACCGGTGACATACGAAAGACCTCCAAGATGGTTGCTTCCGTAAATGGCATCCTTTCCTTGTCCTCCATCTTGGCAACGCGATCTTGACCTATGACCTTGAATAAAGCGGCAATAAATATAATGCCGATAAAACCGTGGATCTAGTAAAATAGACATACACCCCATTTCCATAGATTAGATCGACCTACTTTAGATCGACCTAACTCCCTGGGGGTTCACGCTAAATAGCTGTCAGCCGGGCGGACACGAAGGTTAATTACCCCCTTACAGCTTGTAGTAGGCGGGACGGACATTTAAGTCGGATTATCTGAAAGTAATCTAGTGAGACTCCCCGCGGGGATAGATCGATCTAAAATCTATGGGAATAG